ATTATATTCGATTATTTTGGAATTACAAAAAACGATAAATTTCAAAATAAGAATAATTTCTTACTAATTTTTATTTTGCGGTCCCAATTTTAGTTCCGTATCAATCCAATAGCGGTTCCTCGGTTGTCCCCTAGTTCGATTCCCCTTAGTTTTATTCCGACGCCCTTCGTGTTATTGTCCTTGCTTGCCTAGCTTCTGCGCTATTGTCTCTATGCGCTTTCTATTACGCACCTCTGCGATCCCGCTTGCTGCACCCGCCTACTGGCACGCACTGTGCTTGTTTCCTTAACCTATGCGCGTTGTTTTGGGGAGCTTCTTTGGGATGCGGCGTTCGGTAGCACCTTTGGAGAGCAGCTTTGGGGAAGAATTGTGGGGAGCAACATTGCAGCCTTGCAGCAGCATTGACGAACAGTTGCTTTGAAATCTTTGAAGAATGACAGCTTTGTGGAGTAGCTTTAGAAAGCAATTTTAGGGAGGAGCTTTCGGAAACAACTGTAGAGGGGAGCTTTAGCAGCTTGGGGGAGGAGCTGTTCGGAGCAGCTTTCAATAATAACTTTTGGGGCGGCTTTGAGGAACAGCTTTGTGGAGCAGGTTTGGGGAGGAGCCGCTTTGAGAAGCAGCTTTGCACGGCAGCATTGAACAACAGCTTTGAAGAACCGCAGCTTTGGGGACTAGCTTTTGAACGCAACTTTGGGGAGCAGCTTTTGGCAGCAATTTTGAGGAGCAACTTTCGGAGCCGCTTTGGAGAATAGCTTTGAGGAACCGCTTTGGGGAACAGGTTTGAAGCATAGCCGCTTTCGGGCAACCGCTTTGCAGAGGTGCTTTGGGAAATAGTTTTGGGAAGCAGCTTGGGGGAACCGCTTTGGGGAGTAGCTTTGGCAAGCTTTCCGGAACAACTTGGAGGAAGAATTGCTTTGAAGAAAAGCAGCTTTGGGGAGCAGCTTTCGAGGGCAACTTTACAAACAACTTTTGGGGGAGCAGCTTTCAGTAGCAACTTTGGGGCGCAGCTTTCGGCAGCCGCTTTGCAGAATAGCTTTGGGGAACCGTTTTGGCAAACATGTTTCCAGAATCGTAGCCTTGGGGCAACAGCTTTGGAGAACAGCTTTGGGGCACAGGTTTGAGGAGCAGCGCCGGGGAACAGCTTTGGGGAGCAGTTTTGGACAGCTTTCCGGCTCCACACTTTACATTTTACACTCCACACTCCGCACTTTACACTCAACACTTTACACTTTACACTCCACACTCGACACATTACACTTCAAACTCCACACTTCACACTTTACATTCCGCACTTTACACTCCACACTTTACACGTTACACTCCACAGTCAACACTTCACACTTCAAACTTTGCACTCTACACTTTACACTCCACACTTTACACTTTACACTCTACACTTTACACTCCACACTTTGCACTTTACACTCCACACTTTAAACTTTACACTCCACACTCCACACTTTACACTCCACACCTTACACTCTACACTTTACACTTTGCACTCCACACTTTACACTCCACACTTTACACTTTACACTCCACACTTTACACGTTACACTCCGCACTCTACACTCCACACTTTACCCCTTTCACACTCTACACTTTACATTCACACTCCACACTCCACACTTCACACTTTACACTTTAAACTCCACACTCCAGACTTAACACTCCGCACTTTACATTTACACTTTACAATTTACTCTCTACACTCAACCTTCTAGACTTTACACTCCACACTCCACACTTTACACCTTAGACTCCACACTCTACACTTGAGACTCTACACTTTACACTCCACACTCGACTCTTGACACTTCACGCTTTACACATTCCACTTTACACTTTGCACTCCACTCTCTACACTTCACACTTTCCTTCCTACACTTTACACTTTATACTCCACACTCCACAATCCCCACTTCACACTCCACACACTACATTCCCCATTCAACACTCCATTTTGTTAACACTCCACATTTGGCACTGCAACCCCTTCCACATTCCAGTGTCTACAGTGCACTGGTACGGTAACAGGGGAAATTGGTAAAATATACAAGACTGTTTTCAAAACTTGTTTCACAAAAGTGTTTGCTGTGACTGCATTCAGGTTTGTTGGTTTCTCTTGTTTTTATTGTCTCAATAAATAATATTGGACATTATAATATCGCCAAAATCAAATTCGATGCCTTGTGAAACCTAGGAGTTCCATGGAGTTCCGATATTCTCATTACAACAAACAAGATGTAAAGCCGCAGACCTATTTACTGAAAGCAATCTCAAATTAAGAAATAGCTGGATCCTCTTGATCGTGGAAACTTCCACGCCAAAGCAAAAATCGATCAATTTTGCCAAATTCAAGAGAAAAAGAACTCCTGAACAGTTAAACTCCAGACTCCAGAACGTCGGAAGTGTCCCGAGCCGGGGTTCTTTTTTCCACACCAACCCCCAAAATCGATCTTTTTTGAGTTTGGAGTTAAACATTCCAGTATTGGGAAGCTCCAGGTAGTATAGATAATCTATATGTATATAATATATACATATATATCATGCGTATTTGAATAGTATAGTAATATAGCATAATATAGCTCCAAAATTATTGAGATGCCAAATACAATAAGATATCATAGAGCTTGTCAACTGAACATCTGAAATATTGGGATTGGACATGTGTTCATATAATGTCGGCAATTGAATTATTTGCTTTTTGTTTTCAAAGATCGACTTTTTTTCGATCCTGGTCCAGGGGGTAATTTGATTCAAAGGGAGAATCTTGATTTGAGGAATGCATTGATTTTGAATTCTATATTTCTAAAGCATACAAGCAGTTCAAATCGTACAAAGACAGTCTGTAAACATCCAAACTGTAACTAGGACAGGAAAACCGTAATATCTTGCTGTTTTAAAAGCACAAACATCGAAACCTGTTAATTCCCAACATAAACATATTGCAACCTCACAGGTTATGGCGAACAAAAGGTGGAGGGGTGGTTTAGGTGAAAAAACGGTGCAAACATGAGCAAACTCGCTTGAACCACTAAAAACACCACTGTTGATATTACAGGCTTCTATTGCCTCTTCTATTGGGGAAACTTGTAACCCAATTCATAGAGACATACCGTAATTAAGCCACCTGGCTACTGGAGCATGACCGACTAGTCTGGGGGGCCTCTCCCCAGCCACATTCCAGGATTTCGCTGCAGGAGTGACCTTGGAGTGACATGATTTCGCTGGGTCAAGGGGAGTCAAGTCATTGGGTAACATGCTGCAGGTTTAATGGGGATAACAACAGGGATGTTCATGGGGATGATGTGATTTTCTGGGTAGCTTTGGATCCACGGTTGAAGGGTCCAAGGTTCAAATACGGCGCCCAGCTGGAGCCACTTCAAACGGAAAACTGGGACTCCCCAGCAGAAGACGCCCGCGAAGACACCGCCACGGTCCGAGGCGCTGAAGGGCCTGGGACCGCTTCGCGAGCCGGTGGTTCTACATGGTTCTACCCCCCAAAGCCATGGCATTCCTTTCGGAAAAATGAGGAACTAGCTGTGAACTGGCTTTGGGGGTCCCCATTTTGGGCAGGCCCCCAATTTTAGGACACCTGGCTGACTCTGGCAAACGTCACCCAACCACTGGGGGGTTGTGATATCTCAACAACCATTTGGAGGTGTTCAAAATCCCCAAACTGGGACAACATCATGACAACAACCCTGACTTGGATGACCAGCCCTTGACTTGCAGTGGGTTTACGCATGTTTACACTATCATCATGGGTATCTAACATGCAGCGATTCCTGTCATTCCTGGGGTGGCATTGCCTCCAAGAATCTCAGATTGAACGATCCATGGGATATGGATGCCTCATCAAGCTTACCCTGTGGTAATTTAACATAGCTATTGAAAATGGTCCATTTATAGTTGATGTTTCTGGTAAAATGGTGATTTTCCATAGCGAACTGTTAGTTTACCAGAGGCTACTTGTTCTATCTTATCATAATCCCTTCTCAACGCTGGAAATGCATCCCAAAGAACTGCCAGTAAAGGGTCCCAGCAGGGGAAACTATCTATTTTTCATGGGGAGAAAAAACAATAAAAAACAGACCCAGCTGGATTTCAAGAAGGCCCCGAAATATCATATGCTATAGTTAGCCAAAAGCTCAAAACATCCCTAATAGGAATGTCAAATGACAAATGTTTCATTTTCCAGCAACCAGATGAATATCTATCCGAATCTATCTCTAGGTGTGTTCCTTAAATCCCCAGCACTGGAAGTTACTCCATTTTGGGGTTCCCGTTTCCAAGGTCCCGGACGTCTTGCAGCGTGGAGCCTCCTGGATGGCTGTTGCGGTTTGTATGACCCAGGCTGGTCTCTTGACCCCAAGATATCTGTAAATCATCAAAGGAAAGAGGAACAACTGCTAGGAACCACCAAAATGTCCTATGTGGCGATGTTTTCCCTATTCCCAAGCTCTCTTCCGTTATGAAGGGGCGGTTTTCCAGTGAGACGCCGCCGAGCCCTGGGTTTCCGCTGTGCCCCGAAGAGTCCTTGTTCAGACAAATTCCCTGGCCACGCTGAACCCTGGAGTGGCGACTCACTGGGAGGTGCCCTTCGTACTTCATCTCTGCCACTCGCTATTTCAGTGGCAAGTTGGAGGTACCATTGATACGATCATTGATGATTGATGATAATTGTATAACATAGTTATTTAAGTGTACTTTTTCAAGCCAAGGGACCAAAAATCATTCAAAAACTCTCGTGGGTCATAGGTTCACGGTGAACGTCCAGAAATATTTCTTCACAGTATATATCTACAGATAGAGGTACGGTCCCAAAGAACATATGAAAAAAATAGGTCAGCATCTAATTTCGCAATTCATCTCTAGGATTATTAATCGAAACATGTAAAATAAACCAAAAGTCGTCTAGTCTGAAACACAATACTTAAGTTATAGTGGTGTTTCTAGTGGTGTCTTTTTGATCATTTTCTCCTTTTGGTAACGGTAGCTCATGATTTCCTGGTTGGTGGTTTTAACATGTTTTAACCATCTTGAAAAATGATGGAGTTCGTCAATGGGAAGGATGACATCCCATCTATTCCATCTATTAACAGGTTTCCCATTAAATAAACCATTTAGAGTTGATTTACCTATTCAAAATGGTGATTTCCCACCAAATCAACCAACGATTTCACGAGCGTCCGTTCCGTCATCGGTCATATCGGTCATATCGGTCATATCGGTCATATCGGTCATATCGGTCATATCGGTCATATCGGTCATATCGGTCATCGCCACCTTGGCCACGTTGGCACAGACCTCGCCATGGGACTCGGACTCCTGAGATCAAAGTGATGGCCGAATTAGATACAGTATATGGGTGTGTCTGAAAATAGTGTACCCCTAAACCCAATGGTTAATGATCATTATCCCTATTAAATGGCTATAATTGGGAATATACCCTATTTTCAGACAAACCCATATGTAGATGGAATATGATGGGATATTTAGAAACTGAAGTTATGGCCCAATTTTTGGAAAATATAAATAAGTGAGATGAACCACGATATATATAATATCTACTATAATATAGATGGGATAAACCACGAATCAGAGACTAATCAGAGACTTGTCAACCAGTTTCGAAGACCTTCGGATGATCGGTAAGCTTTGGAGGACTGCTGATATGAATTTGCTGAAGCGTAGGTGCTGAGCCGTAGTTGCTGAGCCGTAGTTGCTGAAGCGGAGTTTAATCTATTGCACGGGCATGTCTACTAAGATAGAAGCCACTTACCAACCATTCACTAACCCTTTTCAGCGATCCCAGAATAGTTCGGTTGTAATCATCCAATAACACACTAGGATTTTTTATCCGATGGTCAATTGTTGAAATGTGGTGAAATTTATTGTTTTCCATGTTTCGATCTCCCTCGGCTTGTGAAATCCCTATAATGTTTGATGCCCCCTATTTTCATAGTCAAGCTATAATTTTCCTTGCTTCAGCCACTATTTTTCCCCCTTTTTCATACGACCACCGCACTGTTTCCTGAAAAAACCTGATGTTCCAAGCGCTACCGCGACGCACTTGGCCACGTCTCCTTGGCTTCCTCCGCGTCAGCCTCCTCTGCGCTCTCGTCTTCGGGAGCTGCCAATTCCTCCTCCTACGCCGCATGGACATATGAGAAGGTGTCCGTGCTTCATACATATATATATATATATGTTAATATGTTGTGATTTTTCAAAATGGTGTATTTGTTTTTTATATATGTTTTGATATGATCTTGTATGTCATATGTCTAACATCATCATTATTGTTGTGGTGTTATTATTAATTGTCATTGTTATCATTATTACTGTTTTTGTTGTACATGCTCCAGCACCAAAATGATCTTGAAACCAGTTGTTCCTATGCACACAGCTCCCTCGGCCGCTGTCATCTCCTTGAGCGTTCCTTGTAGTTGGGCCTTGGTTGCGGACTGTCCCTGGTGTCCCGCGCTTTAGCGCCCCGTTTCAAACGATAAGAAATTCGTTTAGAAACGAACGGTACATGGTGTAGGAATCCGCAAAATGATAGTAGAGGGATTTTGCAGATTTACCACTAGTTTAGAAGGATTCTACTTCTCTCCTTTCTTGGGGCTTGCGTGAATCATGGAATGTCAATGTACATCAAGCAACAATTAGGATTATGGGGATATTTATCAGAAAATACTGGGATTGTTGAGAGAGCAATCTGCAAAATTGAGATATAAAATGATATAATAAACCATTGCCAATATCACCTTTTATGCCCTTCAAGATTACCGCATTTGTCAACCTCCACAAGTGTCTCAGCTGACCCATCCTGCGTCGCCAACGTTTTCGCACTATCAAACTAACTACTGGGATGATGATTGCAAGGAATTCTGTGGAAACTACTCCAGGAATTCTCTTCACTTATAATTTATAATTCCAAGACCTGTTTAGTTGCAGAGTCAAATTGCAATTGTTCTTGCTTCAAACTGCTTCAAATACGTTCAAATCCACGGTGTTTTTCTTGGCTTTCGTTGAGTCTTCACACCATTAGGCCGACATCATCCAGATCGTCGAACATGTCCTTGTCCTCCTGGAGAACGCTGCAGTGCCAAAAAAAAACAGTACCCTCTGGTAATTTAACATAGCTATTGAAAATGGCCATAGAAATAGTGGATTTTCCCATTAAAAATGGTGGATCTTTCCATAGCTATGTTAAATTACCAGAGGGTAAAACGAATGTTTTCTGGTGAACGTGGGCTGGAAAATCCCCTCTAAATTCTCGTTCCAATGGAAAATTCATTGAACTCTTGGTGGATGTACCAGCCAAAAAGCGTCAAATCAATGACCCCCAGGGTTTCCGGTTCAAAGAATGGGATGGTGACAATTCCATGAATCCCATCCCGCCAATATCCCTTGTGGGATCCCTGGGGAGATATGAATAGATCCAATACCAGGGGCTTTACTGGGGAGTATGGAAGATATTCAGGGTATGGTATGATCATTTCAGAAAAGAAAGTGGCTCACATCACTCAATAGACCGTGAAATATGGATGTTCATCCCCAGCAAATTTATGAAGAATCAGGTTTTAGCCCATCATGATATTCGATTTCCTCCTTTTATGGCTCAAAACCAGTCACCATTTGCCTCCCACTAGTTGGTTTACAAGGATCGACCAGGATAAAGTTATCACCAGTCATGATGCTCTTCGGCAAAATATTGAGAAGGCTTAAAAGGCTCAAACCAACAAAAAGGTGCGACAATATACATACACGTAGATATATACATATATACACACATACAAATGGTAGCTGGTATTGTAATGGATATGGCATAACGGATGAGTGCTGGATGTGTATGACAGCATCAGCGCCAATCAACAAACATCATCATGGCCATTTTTAGATACCCCACGAAATGAAATCTTTAGCTGGTTAGTACACTATGGTGCATTATGCATATCTCCATTCACATCCATCACAAAAGATTGACCGGCAGAACGGTGGCCGCAGCAGCTTTCCGCTTGGAAGTTAGTAGTTTGTAACGGGCTTTTCGCCTAAAGAGGCACGCCTGAAAGCTGGTTGGTGATTCCAAAATCAAAAAGGGAGTGAGTCTTCTGTTCCCATTTAGGGGTGGAAAATCAAGCATCTTGAAACCACCAACCAAGAAATCTGGTCAAATTGGGATACATTTCATCACGTCAATGCTTAGTTGGAACGTGTAAACTATGGTACAGGTTGATATGCCCTCCGGTTATTTCAAATAGCCATGGACAATATCCATGTTTTAATAGTTAACTCGTTTATTTGCTACAAATGAGTAGTTTTCCAGTACAGAAGGGGAGTATTCCTGCAACATCCCCGCAAGAAGATGCGAGGTGCTCCCATCACCATAGATTATGATTACATAGTAAGTCCTTTGACCTGGGTAAATTATCATATTTCACTAACCTGAATTAAGGCATATTATGATATATTATGGGGATAGTTACCCCTTACCCTTACATTCACCATGATTCCAGGGTTCGGTCGCAGTGAGGTCGTTATAATATACCCAGCTTGATGTCCCTTACATCTATAAAAATTGTTCACGACCACGCTAGTCCCCTACCCTTCACATTCTATAGATTCGCCACTAAGGGACTCCAAAATGATGAAATATCCCATCATATTAAGCGATGATTTCAAGGGTAGCATTTAATCCTTTAAGACTGGATGAATTCGTAAGTCACCGACTGGAATAAAATCCAGTCGCACGCAGTCTCTAGCCATAGCAGTTGCAAGCGGGTCATGTGAAATGTATTGAAGCATTGGAATCCTTGACTCAAGATGCTTAATCACTGCGAAACAATCCTCAAGCTCTGGTGGAGGGGCATTCTTGACTGGACTATGACTATCTCGGGGACCCTTCCTATGAATCAAGATGAATCAAACTTACTCAACTGTAGGTTGTTTCTGCATCATAAAAGTTCCTAGTCCTGGTCGACCATCTCCAACAATTTTCAGCTTGTGAACTTGTCAAACAAATTGTCACCTATTTCATCTTGGCGTCGAAATTTGACCAGCTGTATGGGAAATAGGAAACTGGCTGGAGCGGAACCAACAGCATCCTCAACTGCAACAGTTGAGCAACTCATCCTGATGTCACAAAACCCCGTAATTACCCTCGAACATTTGACATATTTGACATAGCTATGGAAAATTGCCCATTTATAGATGATTTATGATTATTTACCTGTTCGATTCGTGATTTTCCACAGCTACGTTGACAAAGCAACGCCTCAACGCAGAAAAAACAACCCCGGTAACCGGGCGTGCTGTGCAACGATCCATCTTGGGGGTTCAATAAACCCTGTGGCATTAACAAAAAAAAGACTCGGAAAAATGAAAAAAAACAGGAAGAAGCAGTCAATACATTGCAACATATGGAAATCAACTTGGGGCTGACTTATTCTCCCTCCATTGGAGTCGCTGCAGAGATGCGGTTTTGAGTCGTCCTAGTTATATTCACCATCCATTTGGATCATGGGGAAGTCCCAACATCCAGCCACTTTCCGAATGGCCATCTGGCTTCCCGGGACCCGTCTGTGAATCGAAATGTCTCACAGACCAAAAGAGGAATCCATTTGAGGTATCCATCCTTTAGAGTTTGATACTGAATTTTAACCGATCTCAAAGAGATCAATCCCACATAAAAGAACATCGCCAAGAAAACAGGCAAGTTTCTGGGCAACGAGGATGAGAAACTATAACTGGACATCAATGCAGCATTGGTGGATAAATGATATGCCCATTTTGTTGGTTGGATGCCAACCTCTAGCTGCGCGATACCAAATAGAATCTGTACGCGTGTTGTTTATTGGTTTTCCCCTTCAATTTGTTTCCTGGTTTGTGATTGAGCTATGCCCAAAAAATTTGGGAGTCAACTTGAACTGTCTTGGCAGTTTCATGGCAAGAAACAAAGATGTTGTTCATCCTTCACATTGGATAATTTCTGAAAAAATTGGTGCCTTGAGTATTACACTGATTGTACATAAAACCCATATTTATTCAAAAATACGTTAATGCTAGGAAATACATAATTATTTTCTTGACAATGTTGTATCCGCCCATGTCGATTGATTTTAAGGTTCCATGTTGATTTCTTCCAAGAACCAATGTATACCGATGTATAATATATATATATGTATACATAAATATACATATAGATATATCCAACCGACCTTATCAACATGCATCAAACATTGGATGTCCACTTGTTGACAGTCTTCTCTATAGATGGAAAAAACTGATACACTCACATGGCGGTCCTACCAAAGCTGAATTGCAAGGCACCGGCGGCGGTTCAGCGACAGTCGGGCGGGGAAACCAATCTGGGGAAATCCGTGCGTCTTGCTACTTGAAATAACGAATGTCCAATTCGAAGTACCCTTTGAAGATGCAGATGCAGTTTCAACTGTGTGACAATTTACATATATATACAGTATATATTTTATAAACTGATATTGATATATATATATATATATAAATATTAATCGATCTGGATCAATATATACATATATATATATACACAGTATCCCAACACCCCCTCCCCCCCGGGCATGGTTCAGCAATAGTACTAAGCCCCTCCCCCCCGAGAGAGGAGGGGGGTAGGGGCGCATGTGGTCCCTATGATGTATCATATATGCATGCTATTAAATATATATATATATATCAAAATCAAAAAATTGAATAAATATCTAAATATATGTGATCTATGGTAAATATATGTATTGTATATGTGATATATATGATATATGATATATATATATGGTATACATATGATAAATAAAAATGATATATAGGATATTGAATATATATATAAGATATATATATATATAATATATATATATATGATATATATATATATAAATGAGATATATGATACATATGATATATATGATATATATATATGATAAATATGATACATATGAAATATATATATATACAAAGATATATTTGATATATATATATATGATATATATGATATAAATAATATATATATGTGATATATTTGATATGTATGATATATATATATATATGATATATATGATATATATCATATATATGCTATATATAAAAATATATGAAAATGATATATATGATATATGTATATAGAAATAGATATAGATATAAGAGATACATGATAAAACTGATATATATGATATATATATATATATGATATTTATCTTTTATATGATATTTGTATATGATATATATATATATGATATATCATATTATACATATATATATAAATGATATATATATATACATATATATGATATATATATACATATATATATGATATATATAGGATATATATATATATACATAAATGATATAAATGTTTTTTATGATATATAAGATAAAAATGATCTTTAAGAAATATCATGAATATAGAATACATATAATACATATATATTAAAAAAAAGATAATATACAATTATATAGATGATAAAAATATGGTGTATATATATATATATAAATGATTTATATGTAAATATATGATATAAATATATATATATGCTATGTAAATATATTTACAATTATATATAAGATATATAAGTATAAAAATTGTAAATGATACATATGTTATATGTGATACATATGATATTTATGACAATATGTTTTATATTATTTCAATATATATATATATTGTTTATGATATCTATGATACATAAATATGTGTATCTAATTGAAAAATATGATGCGTATTATACATGTATATATATATGATATATGTGATAAATATGATCAATATGGTTTATATATATGAGATATCTTTTGTATATATGATACATTTAACTTATATGATATATATGATATACATATGATGTAAATGATCTATATTATATTGAAGGCATACATATGATAAATATTGTATATACGAGATGTTTTAAAAAATGGTGATATATATGAAATATGTGTTATATATATAAATATAAATAAATGAAAGTATATATGATTTATGCGGTATGTAAATGATTAAAATGATATACATTATATATATATATATGATATATTTTTATATATATGATATATATTTGATAAATGAT